CCCTGCTCAGGTATTTATTCTTCTATTACTGCAAGACCCAGATATCCTGACTCCTCTTTACCTCGCAGTCTATCAATTCCTTCCAGGCATCACTTCACTCTTCACCAAACAGTCAAACACTATCACCAAAAACCTTCCATTTTTTTTTCCCTAGTCACACTTCAATTCTGAATCATTCAACAAAAAGTTGTCTTTTAACTGACAATGTTTGTAGTACTATTCTGACTGGAATTTTAAGCATGATTTTAATAATAACAACAGCTACCATTGAATGGGCATTAATGTGCAGGAACAATGTCCTCTGGATAATCCTGTAAAGTTACAAGAAACAAAGAAGATCCAATTAACTTGTCCAACTTTAGAACATAAAAAGAGGTACAACTGCAATTTGAACTAAGACCATCTGCTTCCAGAGCTCTTACATTCAGCCATAAAGCTACAGTGCTTCCCAGCTACAGAGCAGTACCACCACTCACACTCAGAATGGATCAAATATTTCTTTCCTGTTTAACCCCTTCCCCAGTTTTGATCAATCCCATTGTTATGGTTTGGGTGTAGGTGTCACCCCAAAGCCTCTTGCAGTCATGGGGCGTGTTCTAGAGTTTGTGATTCATGATCCAAAACTGGGATTATGGGCCTGAGTACTGCTGGAATTATGGGTGTGAGTACGACACCCAGCCTGGGGCAGATAGCCTGAAGGTATAAGGAGAGAGGCTTGCTCTCTGTTGCCATTGTTGCCACTATTCCTCCCATTTGCTCTTGCTGTTTTGCTGTTTTCTGCTGCCATGAACTGCTGTCCTCTGCCATGTGCCAGTCTGTCTTGGACCTAGCTGAGTATGGACTGAAACCTCCATAAACTGTGAGCTAAATACCGTTCCTTCCTTAATTTTGTGTGTAGGGTACTTTGTTCCAACAACAAAAAAAAGTAATTGAGACACCCATTCATTCAAGAATTAAATAGACATTTAACAAATGAGTTCTTTCCATATTCAACTCAGTCACTAAGACCAAATCAAGAGGAAAAACAAGACCTTGCCTTCTCCTTAAATCATCAAACCCCTCATTCTTAACAAACAAAATGAATAGTAAATAACATCCTGCTAATACACAAGCCCTTTACATATATTGATTCATTCTGTCTACAAAACCCCCTTTATTTACTATTGTTATTATCCACAGTCTAAAATAAGAAAACTGAAGCATGCATGGAAGTTATATAATGTACTCAAGGCTATACGGCTAGCAAAGACAGAGGGAAAAGTTTTCAATGAGCAATAATCACACTTTTAATAACCCTCATTGGCTATGATTCTGTTACCTCACAAAGCTGTAAATGACAGAGGCAGAATTTAAAATCACTCTAATACTATATCAGAGTACAATTCCCTAATTACTTTGTTAGAATGTCATCAAAGTTTGTAGTTACTACATTAGTCTTGGGTCCCTAAGCTCCTCAACCCTGCACCTACAATATAATCTATAGTAACTAATTCATTCAACATCGGTTTTAAATAGGACCTGGTGACACCAATGGATTACCAACAGTTTGAGGCCAACCTGGGCTACACAGCAAGACCTCATCTCAAAACAAAAACAAAAAAACAGGTAAGGTGAACTGTCAACTCAATTGGCTTCGGAGTCTCCTCAATGATTAGTAAAGCATACCCCTGTGAGTGTCTGAATGGGTCAGGGAAGTTTGACATTGAAGTTTATCTCCAGTCCCTGACCCCTTCTTTTCTGTTGCTGTTCCCCTGCTCTGCTTCCTGGTTGCCATTAGCTTTATTCTGCCACACCCCTCTGCCTTAATGTTTGTGCTCATGAGCCAGCTGACCAAGAACTGAATCTCCTGAAACCTTTCACCCCTTATGCTGTGTACATGAGGTATTTGGTTCCCATGAAAAGCTGACCAACACACTGGCTGACAACTGATTTGTTACAGTTTTGCTCCTTGAACACATCAAGCTTGTTCCCGCCCCAGGGCTTTAATAATTTCCTAAAACACTTTTCCTCTAGATCTGCCTCCCCATCATTATATCTCAACTTCCAAATGGACCTTTTCTGGCCACCTGACTGAATATCATATCTACAAACATTCTTCACATGAAATTAGTCATATTTATTCTACTTACCAGTTGTCTTTTTCGCCTACAAGACAGTAAGTTCCAAGACAATAGAGACATGGTCTATTGAACTCACTGCTGTTTTCAGCACCTACAACAGTTCCAGGTGCTTTGATATTTGCAGAGTGAATAAAATATGCTACACATTAAGATACAATTCCTGTCCTCCATAAATTCCCAATCTATATGTTCATAAAAACTGATAGCCTTCTCCTTTTCTATATTAAGGAAAGATGAGCCTCTATTTCCAATACTAACTTTTCCACCAGTAATCTTAATTAAACTTGTTCCTGAGATAAGTCCATTGATCTCTATCAATTATCCCCCTCTCATATAGCTCAGCTGTATAAGCACCTGCCTGGCAAGCACAAGGTCCCAAGTTCAATTCCAGGTACCACATGCCCTGCCAGCCTCGGAACCAGGTGTGGTGGCACAGGTCTGTAACACCAGCACTAGGGAGGCTGAGACAGGAGGATCACTATGAGTCTGAACTGTGTATCCAAGAAAAAATTAGCCCCTCTTAATCATATACTCTCTCCTTCAACACATAGTTTCCCATATTTTAATAACCTACCTATTACTCCTATACTTAAATATCCTTCCAGCAACTCTCAGTCTCCCTCCAGGTTATGATGACCACATCCTCAAAAGTTATCAGTGACCTAGAAATTGTTTTCATTTTGCTTAGTACTTAAAAGTTCTAGGAAATTTCAATCCACTTTCCTAGGACCAGAAGTGCTACTATGTCATGGTTCTCTTGATTTTCCCATTTTTTTTATAGTTTCCTTCCTTATCTTCTCTCATTCCTTTAAATTTGATGAGCATTAGAGCATTATCCCAATTCTTGCTCCATTCTGTATACATCTCTTCTCTAACTCAACTAGTATCCTGTACAAAAATTATAGCCTAAATTTCAGGTCTACTTTCTCTATCACCTTTATAAGAAATATGATTGAATTTTTAATCAAGTCTTCAATAAAGTGTAGTTGCAGGTTAAAACTTAGAAACAATGTTAACTGCAATAAATAATAATGTGAACAACTGGTTTCCATGAATACTTTTTGAAATACATGAACCAGTTCCTTATCACTTTTCATTGATAATTTTTACAAAAATTAACCAAAGACTAAAATATCACAAATTTTATGTATGTGGTTAACCTTCATTAATCTTGTCTAATAGTATTAATCAATTCTTTATATATTATTGCACAGTAAAGTAGTAGAAAGTGAAGATAGGAAAATAGCACTCACTGATTATTACACAAGTCTTTAAGATAACATATAAGTCTTGGAGATAGCATACAAACTAACATAAAATCTTTGAGAAGGGTTTGTAAGGATATACTTACAGTGTAATAATTTACTGACTCAACATTCAAAATTATACCTAATTATCAGAGCAAATTCTCTACTGTGGTTTTGTGCCATTTTCAAAAACACTGGCAAGGAACAGGCTTGTATTACTCTGGCCTTCAGCTTAGACAGTAAAGAGCAGTTACATACATTTATGTCAACAAGATATAATGCTTATTCTCTCAATCCTGGAAACAATTACAGATATGAGAAGACTGCCTTATCCAGAAAAAGTGTGAACAAAGCTCCATCTTCATAACTCTCCCAACTGATAAATCACAATGCATACTGATAAACTACCAATACCTGACTTACAGACTAGCTCCTTTGGCAATGAAATAAAAAGACATCTGGTTATTGCCTAATAAACTGTCCATTCAGTAAATACAATAAACTATTTTACTCTTTTGACAAAAATCTAACTATGTTTTCTTCATGTACTGTAAGAAACTGTGGGAAGAAATGAAGACAACTCTCAATTACCACTGTCAAAGCTTGTGAAACAAGTCAGTCACCATCCTTCAGGGTATATGGCGTGTAAGGGCAAGGAAAAGAAAACAATAGGAGAGCCCTTAGCAAAAAGAAAAAAAAAAGGCACCCACATTTTAAGAAAAAGAAAATGAAAGTGACTTAGCATCTACATCAAGAAAACTAAAGTTGCACCCAGTACAAATGAAAGCAATCTTGAAGCTACTCAATTCTCTAGCTGGTGGCAGTTGAGCACTATACCAGCTGTCATATTTTTAAGTTCTTCAGCTTCTCCTTTTCCCCACGAAACCCTCTCTGATTCTAAAGCCTGTAAGTAACAGAGGAAGGAGAACAGAAGATGATGGGAAATGGCCGATGGGCCATCAGAACACAAGCACATTTCTAGAAGGCCAAAAGGCCCAGTTTGAAAGTACAGCTCTAAACGAAAAATCTCTGAGATACTTTTCTTATCTACAGAAATTTCCATGTGCATGCCTTATTCACAAACCTCTTAAAAGACAACCTCTAGTCTAATAATCAAAACCTCGCCGTAAAATATGACTCTACCTTTAACCTTATAACATTTCTCCCCTTAGTGAAAGGCAGATTTCTTTTACAGAAGGTGGCAAGTAGAGGAAGGAATGTCATGGCCTGGTCGGGGAGGGGGGGGGGTACGAATAATGCTGCCGCAGAGACACTGGAAACGCCACTTCCTTCACCACTACTGCAAATTTTCTTCCTGTAATGCTATTACCCTATCCATGCCTTGTTTCTCAACAATACACACACACGTGTCATAACCGACGACCACCATCCCCTTTTCTAGCCTCACACGCAATATTCTCATACACACGCACACACCCCACGGTGCAGAAATCGCTGCCATCGCATCCTCCTTGTATCTCGGCTCAGGCAGTCTACTACCAGCATTAAGAGCTGACTGCAAGACAGCTGGGAACACACATACGTAGACACACGCGCGCGCTCGACACAAGGATGCACACACACGCGTGCACACGCGGCATGTGGCGCAGGGAAGGGCACCCTGGGGACGCACCTGGAGGCCGGGTGTCCAGCGCTGCCGCCCCCCTGGTCCCTGTCGCTGAGCGCCGCGGTATAGATCCTCCGGTAGCGGTCGGCCAGGGCCCGGCCCGACAGCAGCAGCTGGTAGTGACCCCGCGAGTCCGCGGCGGGCAGCCCCAGCCCCAGCCCCAGCCCCAGCCCCGCGGCGGCCACGGAGCCCTCGGGAGCCGGCATGAACAGCGCCCCCGGCGCCGGGGAGGAAGACACAGAGGCGGCGGGGAAGAAGGCGTCCCCGCCGGGCCCCGCGGAGACCGCAGCGGGGGAGGCAGTCGCTGCGCACATCATCCTCCTCCTCGCCACCGCCGCCGCCGCCTCGTCCCCGTGGGCCGGGCGGGCAGACACGCGCGCGCTCACAGCCCTTCCCAACGACGACGCCTCCGCGGCGGCCTCAGGGACACTACAAAGACAGTGACCTCCTCCGCCTCCTCCTTCTCCTCCTCCTTCTCCCCACCGCGCCGCCCTCGCCGCCACTGGGGCCGCTCATCTAACCCCGCCACCACGGGAGCGTGAGGAGGAGGCGGTGCCGCCGCCAAAGCCACCGCCACAGCCTCCGCCAGGGCAGCCCGCAATGGGAAGCTGCCGGCAGCAGTGAGCATGCGCCACGCCCCGCGCATGCTCAGTGACCTGGGCCCGCTCCCGGCTCACCCCCGCCCCGTACACCCTCCCCCAGCCTCTGGGCTTTGGGTGTGGGGTGGTGGAGCGCTGGTGCGGAATCTGCAGAAAATCCACTTCTCCTGGTTTTACTAGCGGCTTGAGGAAGAGTGCTGAGGGTGTGCGGGGTAGCTGTCAGGTAAAGGGTTCCCTCCAGATGCGAGATGCAGAACCAGAAGGAGAGAGAATGTGCCCTTGGCCAAGCTCTCTTGTCACCTTGCACACGTGCATGCTGCCACAAGATTTACTGTGCATAGGGCTGGTTTGTTCAGAATTATGGGAGTGGAGATCCTCTAAATTAGAAGCCCTTTTAGCAATGTTTAATTTTGGAGGGAGTTTTTGTCGTTGAGATTTAAATCTCTTTAAAAAATAGCTTTCGCTTTCAAAAATAGAGGGTATATACTACAACCTACTAACAGAGTTGTTTCCAAATTCTCATTCTCAATTTTTATATAAAAGCTAATTCTTAATGCTGTAATTTTTAAACAAAATTATCTCTTCAGTGGCTAAGATTGTACTACATGCAAATGTAACAAATGTCAATGTCTCCAATTCCTAAAGTTTTTCTTTACAGTCCTGACAAAATTACTTTAAGTTCTGCCATCCCAGTACTATGTGCTTTCTACTCGATGTTTCTTTTCTTCTTTCCCCCCACCCCCACCCCTCCCACCCCTGCACAGGGGATTGAACTCAGGACCTTGTGCTTCCCAGGCAAGTACTTATTGTACTGAGCTATCTTCCCAGCCTTATTTCTTTTTTCTATGTGTCTTTTTTCAATGGCTTTCTCTTCAAAATGCAAAAATCGTAAGAGTACACACAAGTACTGGGGATGAAAATTGATTCTAATTTTGGAGGGTAAAGGAGGCTGAAAAGACAAATTTTATCTGGAAGTTTAAATGATAGATGGATATCGTTTCAATTTTTAAAAAAGATAACTACAACTAGGATAATGAAAACAGAAGAACAAAGAGCAGCCGGGGATATTCAGTGTTTCAATACCAGTTTTGCAATTACCTGTTTCCTCAACCCTTTTCTAATTTCCTCAGAACTTCTCTGTGTATTGTTTTGTGTTATCAGCCTCTTGTCTGAAAATTTTCACGTGCTAGATATGCTATGTGTAAATGTATAAGTACTTCTATATGTTTACCTTAACACAAACTTCACAGTTAAACAGGAAGCCCCCACCCTCATCACTACTCTGGAGTGAGAGGCAGTCAAGATACTGGCAGAGAGGCAGCTCAGCTCTTCAACAGTACAGCAGAACACCTGAGGAGCTGTCACTGTGACAGTGTGTTAACCTGTTGCAAGAGGCAGCAGGGTACCTAAAAGATTCTAAAATCAAACCCCCTTGGATTCGGATCCTGGCTCTGCTACTTCATTCTTGTATATCTTTGGGAAAGTTACCATCTTTGAATAATGATCAAGATAATATCCACTACCCTGGGTTGAAAGAAGACATAAAGCTTTTCACAAATGGTAATAACCATTAAAGAATATATATGTGTGTGTATATATCAAATGATGTCTGTGTCACATTAAAGAATACACACACACACACACACACACACACACACATATGTATGAATGAATGATGTCTGCGTGTGTGGGAATGATGTCTGTGTCTATTAACCTGTTGCATCCCCAGCTTCTTGCGCAGAACTGTCCCTAAGCAGGAGAGTACTAGATGCCGGTTATGTGAACACAGAGAAGCATTTCCAGTTTAGCCTTAGCTGGTGGCTTGTACAGTTATTGCTCAATTAGAATTTCTGGGTGCCAGTGACCCGTGTGGCTGCACTAGTGTCAGCACACTCTTAATTTCCCTTCAATCCTGTCAGTCCCTGGCAAACCCCTCCCTGAGCCTACTGGACACGTGCAAAAACCGGAAACTGGATAATCTCCTGAGAAACCCCACCTCTTGGAGCGGCCAGCGCCACTAGGCGTGCGCAGAGCCCTACACATGCTCACTTGGTATCGGAGGGTGGCGTTTCTGGTGCGATAGGCAGCGTTTCCTTCCCCGGCAGTGGCCACGTTCGCTTTACTCTAAATTGATAGCCAAAGCAGCGGTCTTTTCCCTCTTCCTCTTCCTGCCTCGGCACTGTGTGCTCCTAGGTGTGTGCCACAGCTGCAGTTACCACCTTTGCCGCTGGGTACTTTGGAAGGCTCCAGTGCAGTGGCCAGGAAGTGGGGCAAATGCCTGGAAGCAAAGGGCGTTTGGAGCAACCCTAATCGCACTATCAAGGAGGCATGCAGAGCAGGGTGGTCCCCAACGCAAGGGTCATTTGAGCCTTTGCTGCAGAGCACAACTGTGGGTTCCTTGTAACATGCAAAGAGGGCGTCCTTTCCTGCAGCTCCTGCTCGCGCTACTACTAAGTGGCTTACGAAGCCGATGTAGGCAGTGACGGGGGTCTTGTTATTCTCAGGAGCTGTGCAGAATGAAAGGATACGGAGGGATTGGCTTGTATTTTGCTAGTCCCTTGAGCGCGGCTTTCATATTTTGCACGCTGCCATTTTAGCTTTATCCCTGGCCTGGCTGGGCGTGTGTGCTGTAAGTGTTAGGAAAGCCGGAGGGTGGGGTCGTGCGGGGCTGCCCTGGGTGGGTGGGTGTCAGAGGGCTAGATAGGAGTGCGTGACGCATTCGCCCTCAAAGAACAACCTCCATAGAAGGAAGGCAAACCCTGTCTCGGCCCCTTTTTATTGCGGGAATACTTATTTTTCAGTCTTTGTGGTTGAGAGGCGCATTTCTCAAAAGACTTCTCTGTGATTGTGTAATAAGACCACGGCTTCATCTTTCATTCAAGATCGCAGATTTTTGTCATTCTTTTCCACTTGACATTGCAAATCCGTACTGCAATTTGAACTTTGACCACCTTTGCATTTTTTTCTACTCTATATCTTTAAAGATTTTTTTTCTTTTTCTTTTTCTTTTTTTTTTTTTTTTAAGGAAGCGATCAGCGCCATGCGGTAAATAACAGGGCAGGAGCCATAATGTAAGAGAACATATTGATGTTCTTAATAGTTCACTTAGAAGGTTGAAACCCTAATACTAGAAGCATACGAACACGGGAAGTGTATATTATCAGACTCACCAAGACAGCTGAAAATGACCTGGTTTAAAGTCGCAGTTTGTTTCCTGGATTTCTACAATGATGTACTGGAACATTTAAAAATATTGGAAGCTGCAAGCATTTAAACCAAATGGTAGCTGAGAACCATTGGGAGGAAAATATTCTCAGTCTCCAAAATTGAAAAAATGCTTCACTCTTCAGTGACCTCTGCTTTGCAACGGTCACTGGAGCCCACATTCTTAAACTAATTTGATATTGCAATTTAAAATAAAATGTATTTCATATAACACATTAAATATTCCAAATGTGAGATAAAAATTCAACATGGCCGTTAAAAATTTATTCCTTTTTTAAAAATTGAGAGACAAGGAGCTGGGGAGATAGCTCAGTAGACTATGCGTTTGCCTGTCAGGCACAGGGTCCTGAGTTCAATCCCCTGTATCACAAAAATAAAATAAGAGACAGGGTTCACTGTGTTGCCTAGGATGTCTCCAAACTCCTGGGCTGAAGTGATCATGCTACCTCAGCCCCCTGAGTAGCTGATGGTACAGCTACTGACCAACAGGCTCTGCTTGAAATTGTTTTGAGTGTAAATTATATATGTCATTCTTCACCTATCTTGATCCACGGGCAGGAAGGGTTAATGCTTTTTTATTAGTTGTTCGTTTTTGTTTATTTGTTTGTTTTGAGAGAAGGTCTCACCGCTTGGTCCAGTCTGGCCTTGAACTCACTATATAGCCCAGGCTGGCCTCCAACTCCTGGCATTCCTCTTGCCTCAGCTTCCTGGTTGCTGGAATTATAGGCATGTGTCACCACGCCCAGATTTTTTTTGTACTAGTTTTTTTTTTAAAAGAGGTGAATTATATGTCAAAATTTTCCATAAGTAGGGCTGGGGAGATAACTGGATCTTCTAAGTGCCTGCCTGGCAATCACAAGCATTCGGGGGTCAATCCCCAGTACCACATTCTGTGCTGGCCCTGGAACCTGAGGCACACCATGCCCACCACTGATACCAGCATGGTGGCACACACTGGAGAGGCTGAGAAAGGAGGAGCTGCATAGCGAGACCCTGTGCCTAATAAATAAATAAAAGATTTTTAAAAATTAAATTTTTTTCTAGGGACCAGCCAGATAGCTCAGTAGACTAAGGCACCTGTTTATGCAGAGCCCGGCAGCTGAGGTCGATCCAGGGTGTGCTGTGCCAGCCCCGCCCCCACCCCTGGGGTGTGCTGAGATGGCCATTGAGACTGGGTGTGGTGGTGTGAGCCAGTAATTCCAGCAGTTGGGAGGCTGAAAACAGGACAATCACTACAAGTCCTATCTACATAATGAGACCCTGTAGAAACTGTACTAAATACCAAAATTTTCCTATAAATAAAAATTTAGGTTAATCTCTGAAAAATTATTTTGAATTATTATTATTTTTTTTTTGGTGGAACCGGGGATTGAACTCAGGCCCTTGCACTTGCCAAGGAAGTGCTTATTTTACTGATCCATCTCCCCAGCTATTGAAATATTATTAATGAGTAGATGCCTTAAGTTATATAAATCTCATGATTCATATAAATGTAAATCATAACATATTTTTAAAATCTTGTTTATGAAGCAGTTAGACTACAACATGTTCTAACAACTGAGATGGAAAGTCATAAATTACAACTTTTCTTTTTTTTTTTTTTTGGTGGAACCGGGGATTGAACTCAGGCCCTTGAACTTGCCAAAGAAGCACTTATTCTACTAAGCCATCTCCCCAGCCCTAAATTACAACTTTTCTAAGGGGACAAGATAAAAGTCAGAATTCAACTTTGAAATATAGTTTAAATGATATAGTTTTAAAATGAGTAACAGACTCGT